TACCTAACGAGTAAATAGGTTTCATTCATATCTGTTACGTAATTGTATGATTGAATGAAATAGAAATTACTTCATTAGGAAATAGAAATTATTTTATACTTTTTAGTGCATTTCGAAGTCGGCGTATTTTTTTTTTTTTTTATTTTTCTTATTTCTTACTATTTTTTCATGAAACTTTTACTGTTGTATTTGTTTAGTTTTCCTGGTTAAAATGACACCAAACATGATATAATTACGATCGTAATTACTTATGTAACAAGCCATAAAAGTTTCGATTGAGCCAATGACCATAGCAGTCGAGGCCCAAACAACAAAAATCAATCAATAAAAGTTTCGAACTTTCACACTTACGGCAAATTTTACATTTACGGCAGAAATACGAATTCCTTCTAACGGCTTGCTATATAAGTAATTATGATTTTAATTATACCGTGTTTGGTACTATTATATTTTAATCAGAAAAACGAGTCAAATACGCTGGTAAAAGTTCCATTGACGAAAAACCAAAAATAAAAAATTTTGATTTTTGAATTTAAAAGACAGAACTCACACAAGTCTTTCATGTTTGCCGAACGTTCGAACCTCAGTCCCTCTTTGTTTTTTGTGTCGCTATCTCTTTCTACGTTCGGCACACTACAAAGAATGTAGTACCTATTCCATAAATGTGAATCTCCAGACCCGAAGTTTTCACATTTACGGAGAGAATACTGTATAATAATACCGTCCGCCTTATGAACGTTACCGTCATTGCGCGAACATCTCGATTCACGGATTGCCGATCTATCGCCGGATTACTACAATCTACAGAACGTTGATAGCTGAATTCGCACTTCGTAAAAAGCGTATTACAGTTTTCTAATTTTTATTCTGGTTTGATGTACCTGTATGTAGAAACATTGAACGGTGTGAATAATGTACATGATAGTTTACTACGTGAATTACTCTAATACAACAAAAAGACTAAAAAAATCGAAATGAAAATAATAAACACAACATAAATGAAAAAATTAAATTTTTCGCGAACTAAACACTTTAACCGTTTGACTATGGCACAAATTTTGTGAGCATATGCCAAAAATGCGGATGAGTGGGTATACACTGCTGGCCAAAATTAACGCACCACTTTCTTTAGCCGTTTCTTTCTTTACGTTCTGTTGGAGGTAGGACTTTGAAATTTTGAGAATAGGTGGGCCCATGGGTTATCTCAATGCTCCAGGAGTGCCATTGTTGCCTGCCACCCCCTTGCGGTATCAGCGACCCCTTGAATGCTAGGAGATCGAAAAACCGAAAAGAAGGCTCTAAATTCGACAAAAAAAAAGAAAACATCCGAAATTTTTTTCTAGAATGAGGTTGTTTAGGTTACGGCCTTTCCGAAAATGCCCGGCTCAACCCCCTGCGGCACCCGCAACTCCCTCCCTACTTTTTCGCCCCTCCCAAAGGGGCGCTTTTTTCGAATCTGTTCAAACTTTTACCGAAGCTTCCTCTTAACCTCAGTTATACCTGGTAAAAGTTTGGTCGCGTTTGCACCAACCCCTTGGTCGCTACACGCTGTCAAAAATCAACCCCAGCACCAACCCCTTTGTCGCTACACGCTCTCAAAAAACCACCCCTTGCTGTTTTTTCATTTTTTTCACAGTTAAAAGTCAATTTTGGACCTGCAGTTCACGGAAAAACTTGTTTCCGTGCCAACGGTATTGTTCCTGTTGATGGTTTGGGCCTGGGTAAATTGGGTGCATGCGATCGATTGAGGGATCATTGGAGCAATTTTAACATCAAACAAGAGAAGCGCGATAGCGCTCCCCGCATTTTTGGCATATAAACAGAGGAGCGCTATCGCACTCCTCCGCACTCAAACAGTTAAAATAATATATAAAAACGGTAAAAAGTTATTTTAAAATGTATAAGAATGCACTCTCGTTACAAATTACGCGTGAGGTTAGATTACGTTCACTCCCACGGAGCACCAAAAACACATTGAAACTCGCAGCGCAAAAGCGCTGCGTCGCGGTTTTCGAGACAAACGATCGCAGCGCTTTTGCGCCGCGTAGCAGTCAAACGGTTAAGATACCAATAAACTTGTCGAAAAATGTAACGTGACTCGGATTCGGATATATTCGTGAATCTATACCAATGCAAACAGAAGTTTTTTATTTTAAATATTTTGAACTTTTTTCAACAGATTGTTGACATTTTTTTAATTAAGCTAAGACCAAACACGATATAATTTAAACTATATTTACTGGTTTAATCGACCATAAGTCTCGAACGCGGAGAACGATAGGTAGTGGAAAAGAAGGACCGCCCTGATTGTGGTAGTTAGAAAAGATCCAAAACCTGTTATATTGTTTACAATGTTAATGTGGTGCAATTTCTTCACTTTCCGACTTTTTTTATACATCTTGCCTCAATATATTTGTGACCTTTTTATGATTAAAATAATTCAAGACATATTTTCTTGTAATAACTTACTAGAATCCACGGTATAAATGCAACACATGAAATTATAAATAAATATCTTTTGAATTATGTCATATGTTGGTAGAAATTTCGTAACAAAAAAATCAGAAATAAATAATTAAAGGTTATTAATATATAATAATAGTTTCAATAATACTCGCATGTATTTACTCAAAAATCATGAACATAGAACCGCAACTCATTCATTACAAAATCGTCATGTTTCAGTACTTTTGCGTTTCTCAATGTCAATACTTCGAATGTTTAACTTATATATTCGAGAAAATTGTGTATATTTGTGTAAATCGTGTATATTGTGTAAATTTGTTTCCATACACGTGGAGCTACGAAATTGGAACTTGGCACAAATTGTTATTTTTTTTACAAGCTATGAAATGATACATTATTGGTTGAATTTGGTTTGGGCATCCATTTATGCAGTTATTCCCTTCGAATTGACCAGTACGAAATTTATTGAAGATGAAAAACTAAACGATACACTTGAATCATCAGTTATGTAGTATAAAATGCAGTTTTTTTCCGCAAAAATTGTTATCCACATACTTTGTCAATCACCGATAACAGTCGCATTGTTAGATTCCTGAATAAGCGGAATCAAAATAACGTATCCAATATGTTGAGATTTACGAATTTCTATGATTTTAAACTAATCACCGCAAACATTCGCATAAAAAATTTCTTCATTACTAATTATAAATTGGGTATCAAAACAGTACATTTTACTACGTAACATCTAATGTGAGAAGTTAAACATATTCAGTTTGATGAATATAAAATAATTTTTAGAAAAAAAATACGCCGACTTCGAAATGCACTAAAAAGTGTAAAATAATTTCTATTTCCTAATGAAGTAATTTCTATTTCATTCAATCATACAATTACGTAACAGATATAAATGAAACCTATTTACTCGTTAGGTATTATATTAAATACATTTTAACCTTTTCGGAGGCGGCGCAAAATTAAAAGATTATTTTGAATATGTTATTTAATCTTGCGCCGCCTCCGAAAAGGTTGAAATGTATTTAATATAATACCTAACGAGTAAATAGGTTTCATTCATATCTGTTACGTAATTGTATGATTGAATGAAATAGAAATTACTTCATTAGGAAATAGAAATTATTTTACACTTTTTAGTGCATTTCGAAGTCGGCGTATTTTTTTTCTAAAAATTATTTTATATTCATCAAACTGAATATGTTTAACTTCTCACATTAGATGTTACGTAGTA